AAATGGCAAAGGAAAGCCAGCGAAAGGCATGTTTTCGTGATTTGAGTGCCGAGCCATTAGCCAAAAGCAGCCATTCTCAAGTGACCAATTATCACAAAGCAAGGAAAGTGCTGAAAAAAACTTATTATTGAATAAATGAWGAAATTGCCGTGCTTATGAGTGCTCGTCGAAATACGTAATGAGTGTGCTATATATGAAATTTCTTTCAAAAAAGTAGGGAAGTTTCAAATTTAGTGGGGCACATTCGATTTAATTTGACTTTGCGTAAGCGTTTTTGATCAAATTCACTGTAAACTTCAAAAAAGTACCGTTGTCTTCTCGCGCTTTACTGTTAGAAGTTTGATCGGTGAGCTATGCAAGCGTTGATCTGCTACTAGCTCTTGTGATGCCGTGAGATATTCTACTCGAAGCAAGATCCTTTTAGTACTTAAGAGGTTAAATAAGTTCTTYCTTATCATAAAAGTCAAACTTTCCCCTGTTGTAGTTCGAACACTCCGTTCGGCGTTCACTCGATAATATTAATAATTTTGTCGGTTACTAGTTATAGARCTTTCGTTGAAGCCGTCAACCCTTTCGCACACTTTCAAACTGTGGCTCTATTCAATTTCCTTACTGCCTATATGCGCCCATTTCCTTTTTGTGGCTTACCAGCTCTTTAGMTGCGCGTGAACAAAGCCAATCACACAACAACAACTGGCCACCCGGATGCTTTGACCCACTGCGCCAAAATAGGCAAGACTGCATTGTGCCAGCTATGCGCTTAATTTCAAATTCTAGTTTTTAACTTCAAGTCCTTACCATGCCGCTTTTGTGCGACCGCATACAATCATGTGAGTGGGGATTTATTTGTGGCAACTATGCTTTCGTTTTGAGCTTACCACATTCGTTTATTTTCCAGTTGTTGCACATTGCAGTGGAAATCAACAAATATGTATACAGTTGCCTTGTTGTTGTAATCATACTTTGTTAGCTGCCGGCGTGGCTGCAGAGCCAGCGGAGCGTCACCAGTAAACATGTTGCAAGTGATTATGTACACATATGCACATGTAGGCACACGCATACATATGTAGATAAACACAAACACACTGCGACGAAATGCACTCTATATGGCAGGCACACGTTCCCGGAAGCGAAATTTTCAAAACAATGCATTTGAAATCGAAACGAATTGGCAGCTAGCAGAAAAATCTAGCCAACTCTCCAAACATGGCCAGCAGGTTGAGCCAATCATGCAACGCCAGCGCATRCTGGTAGCTGGTAAGGCCGCCAAATTTCCTTTCGTGTTTTGTTTACTTAATTTTTTTTCTTCTTTTATGATTTTATTTTTTAAATTTTTTCAAATTGTTTTTTAAWTTTTTTATTATTTTTTTCCTCTCAACTTTATTTCGTCGACGCGCGCCAAAATCGAAAAGTTGCGCAAGCATATAAATAATGAAAGGAAATGATAACAATACATACATACAAATACATATATAATGCGTTTGGCGCATTTTCATGCAACTGCCTGCAATTCAGTGCGTTTTTWAATTTTATTTTTTCGTTTGCTTTGGGAAAATTTCGTCTCTGCGGAGCCAGCAGCAAACYCACTGCACGCATGCGAGATTTATAGATATTTTCAATTGGCATAATTGGAGCAGAACGGGCATAATAATATACGTTGCGTAACTGCTGCGAAATGCCTGAAAGCAGTAAACAACCATCGCCACCCACACACATTAGCACACAGTGAATACACAAAAGCATCCGATTTTTTACAATTCACCACAAAAGCTGCTTTTGCTATTGTTGCTGCTGGATTTGATTGCACTTACAAAAAAAAAAAAAACAAAAAATCTAGAAATATATACTCTTAAATGGATTATTAAATTGTGCGTTAGCGATGCTACTCAGCGCTGGTTATTTGCTAACTATTGACAGTGCGCTGCGCTCAACACTGCGTATGAGTGACATTAATTGACAGCCAAACATTCCTATTTGAAATTGCGTGCAATTGCAATGGATACCGAACATATAAACAAAATGTTTTGCCACAAATAAAACCACAATTATGCAGCGTCAAATATTCATAAATATTCAGCGTCCAATTTATTGCGTTTTTGTTGAGCTGAATGACTAAGTGCTATGAATTGGCAAGTACTACGCATGTGATAACTGTTGCCACTGTGGCATATTGCATTGGTTAATTCTCTTTAAATCAAGGTACTGTTATTGGAAAACATAATTTGCTGTAGAAATCTATGGGTAACTGATTTTTTGTACACATACCATCCGATCAAATTTKAACCGGACTGCCAAAAACCAATTTTCCCGTATAGTATGGGGATATTTTAGTCTAAAAATATGAATTTGATTTTTAAAGTCTCGTAAAAAAGGCAATTCATATTTCTACTTTCCATTTTTTAATTAAGTATTTGTTAACCACACAAGAATAAGGGAAAATAATACAAAATTTAAAAATTTCAAAAATTGGCAGCTAATAAGTGTGGGTCTCAAATTTTGGCACGTAACCATAATCACGATTTAAACGCTCATAGCAAACTGAAATTAAAAAGTTTTAATCTGGAGTAATGTCACAATGTCTGAAACTATAGAAAAATTAAAAAAATAATTCACGAAATAAAAACTGTCTGAGAAAAAAATAATAGCTGTACCACTTTTATTTAGACTATTTCGATTTAAAAAAAATAAAAATCGATGTTTAGAGTTATGTATAGTTCCAGACATTGCCAAACGCGCTTAAAGTTTCAGTGCCGTCCTAACCAGTTTGAATGACAGGACAACAAAATAACTGAAATAAAACTTGCAAATATAATTAAAATAGAGTTTTTATACGAGTTTAGTATTGACACGTTTCATATCCAAAACATTAACTAAAATGTGCTGAGTCGATCCACAAGAGTTTTTGAGATGCTCTACTATATTGTTCTTCTTTTTTTTTGGCAAAAATCGCTAGACAAACTCAGCATCATAAACAAACATCTGGCAAGCACTCACTAATTGGAATATCGAGTTCAAACTTAACACGAACCAACAATAAGGTTCTACCAATCTAAAAAAAATGTCAATCGATTAATTTATATGGACCAGTCCGGTTCATATTTGATCAGATGATATAAGATCGGAAATAGTTTAAAAATAAAAAAATATTAAATATTCAACTATTTTGCAATCGTTATTGATTTTACAAATAATTACACAACAGTTCGACCTATTTTTAAAAACCAAAAAACAAAAAACATATTTAAATGACTGCGCATCATTTGTTTGATAACAATTCTTATTGCATTTTATTTYTAGTCCTTTATTGTATGACCTAGTGTTTTCTTAAAGAGCAAATTAACCATTCTTAGCGAAGAAATCGATTTTGAACTTACAAACTAGTTTCAATTTTACTTACAAAATATTACTATATGTACGATGGTTGTCTTGTATTTTTCGAGATTACAAGAAAATAAATATTAATCGAAAATTGMTTTTTGYTTTTCAAAATATGCTCCTTCAAGATCTATATACTTATGCATGCCTTTGAACCACTTTTCGAAACACTTTTGAYACTTCGATTGAAGTTTCTCCAAAACATGCGTTCTCTTATGCCTAAATTTACGATCCATCTCCTGCCACAATGTCATAGACGTGTTTCGTTGTTTCGTTGTTTTTTTTTTTTCTTTTTTTTTAACATTTCTCTCGTCCAATTGACACAAGCCTCATGTATATGGGCCTTAAATTTAGTTTAAAGTCAAATGATAATTCATCATTCAATATTCYTATAGTAGTCTCAATCTCAYAGTTGTTCATATGACAACCTTACAATATCAGTTTGCGCAAAGCATCAATAGTTTCCGGAAGAAAAATTGATTTTGGACAATCTTAACGAAATTCGTCTTGAGTAGATGTGCGATCGTGATTAAATTCACCATGCCATCGTTAAACTCTGTTCTTTGATGGAGCTTCATGTTCTATAATTASATTAAGTTCATCGTTGCACTGTTGCCTAGTTATTCCTTGACGAAATTAGTAAAAAAAAAAAATATTCAGGCGAAAGTGTTYGCAATTTAATTCAACTKTTTTTGCCGAGATGAATATTTTAAGTTACTGCAGGCAACACAAWTAGCGCTCGTATGTCAAAGCGTTATCTATAACGCCAAATGCGAAAAAGTTTACGACGAATTGTGARCTGACAGATTAAAACACGAAGCTTGTTAAATCTCGAAAAATAAAAGGCAAMCTACGTAATACCAGATCTACTATTACATGTACACTCAAAATGGATTACTACATTTTATTGATATATTGGAACTTTTTTTTTTTATATATGACTTCTATTTCCTTAACCTTAACAGCTTAAATCTGAACTATTCGAAAGTATATTTGCAAGTTTTTACTAAGCTACAGTGACTTACAACGTTTCTTTCTAACAAAGAGTACCTAAATACTAAATATTTAAATGAAATTGTGCTAACAGATAGTTAAAGAATGCTAACAAGCATTTCAATTTATTAATATAAATCTGTTTATCCAACGAGCCTCCCCAACTATGAGTTAAAGCAGTAAACTCGCTCATTTTCCTACGTAAGTAAATACTTTCACTATATTAAGAAACTGCAATTGGAAAAAACCTTCGAACTATTTATCTTTTAGTATTACTATATTTATTTGRAAAATTTTTCAGTACAACATAGTTACTTATTAATATTTCGGAGTTTCTTATATTTTTTATGAAATATTAGTAATACATCCCATTCATGTGAGCCATCCACAAACCACCAAAACAGGTACCTTGTTTTCCTTAAAAAATTCCCACTAGATACCCTCCTTTATCCCACAATATACATATGCACTTCGTATATTTTATTTGAGTTATCTGATTGGTAATATTTTTCTTCTATTCTTTTACTTTTCGTTTTTGAACAAAAATAAATGACATACCATAAACCGAAATATTTGAATTTTTCGAACTAAAACTTTGCAACACACGCAACAATAATCAGCAGCRTATCGAGTCTCTCGCAAGCCATGTACCATGGTAGTAATCGTAAGCGTGCCTTCAGCACACCGCACATAACACCCGCCATCTCCACATTGCTCAATATGTCGAACAATGAACGAGGTGTGTTTCTGCTCAATAACAGTAACGGCAGTAATTTTAATATCAACTACAATAACAACAACATAYCAGCCGAACAGCTTGTCTACTATATGAAAACGGCATCACCACACGATCTGGAGAATAGCAGGGTGTCTGGACCTTGGATACCCGGTCGCTCCGACACCAATATCTATACGAATCTAGCGCTTGGTCACAATCGCTATAAATTCTTGCCAAACACACAAAATTACGACGCCGCCGAAGATGAGGATACAGACGAAGATGAAGCGATCGATCAATTCTCACCAACTATTTACCCAACCAGTCGTGCCATTCCTATACCAATCGATAATAAACACAGTCCACAGCATTTGTCAAGCGGCCAACAAACTCCACAACTGCCAACATCACCAACACACGTGGCGCATAGCGCCAGCCCGACCACCAGCGCATATCCATACTCTCCTTTCTACGGCAGCTCGCCCGACTCGCAAATCACTCTTGGTGGTGGTGGTGGCGGTGGTGGTGTTGCTGGCGGCGCACAAACGCCCATTAGAATGGCCTACAGTTACGATCATGCGTTAGGTGCGAACTTCAAACGCGTGCCCACATTGACACACCAAAGCTCACAACAACAACAACAACAACAACAGCAGCAACAGACCGTTGGACGTATGGTGCCGCGTGCCTTATCCCTTGATGCGACGAGCCGGAATGCGGCGGCGTCATCAGCGGCTGTGATGTTCGCCACTTCGCCGACCACATCACTGAACAGGTCAGTCGGACTGCCAATTGTTTGACTGCATCATGCGACTTGTGTCTGTGCCAGTTCAATAAAACTCTCAATATCAGTCTATCAATCAAACGAAATGAACAAAAATCTTACAAGTGCTTAGCGCTGCGAATATATATTTGTTCTTTCGTTCGATTTGTTCATTTCCTTTAAAAGCATTGATGTTGTTATTGCTGTTTATTACGGAGATGACCTCATCTTGTATGCATTATAAAATCTGAATGCACTTTTATTGTTGAATTGGCTTCTAATCACTCACTAGTCTAAATATATACACACACAATACTACCATTTCGATCACATGGCATCACCGTCAGCTCATTCATCAGTACGACAATGCCGTGTAGTTTCATCCATGCCACATTGTGCCGGTTTGCGGGTTTGCCGTCATCGTACTTATTCTCTTATGATTTGCAACTTTCTGTACAGTTTTCGAGTTTTGCAACTTCATGTATTCGCTTGTTTCTCATATTCTTCATCGGTATCAGCCATACGACCATCAGCTGACAACATTTCTTCGCTCTGCATGTTCCATTACCTTCTCTGCACATCTTTGGTGGATATTCTCCTTTTTAGTGTTATTAGCATAAATCCGCCCAAAAGTTCTATGAAAATTTTGTTTGTAAATAATCCTAGTTCCATTTTTCCAGCATGAATTTTTACCACTATTCGTCAAATATATAATTTTAAGTTATATATTTTTATACAAGTTAACATAATCAAGTAACAGCGAATTATTACTATTTTCTGTATAATTATGGCTCTTTATTTTTAATAAAATAATCATTAATAATAGCTATCTATTCGTCTAGCGTTGGAGAGTGGCCAATCGAGTAAAGTTGTTAAGCTTACTTTTGCCTCCTTCTTTGAAAGAGAAATTCTTCCTTTCGCTACAGAAAACATATTTTGAACCACTTAGTTTAGAACCTTGCGTTTTCTTTAAATCTGAAATGCAATAAATTTTTTTCATTCATGAGAGCAATCTGTCATATGAGAACTTAACAATAGTAGAACTAACCTAAGAAGTGTGAAAAAGCATGGTGCCTCTAATCAGATCATGGATACTCCATTAAGATTAATTTCTCCAGGAGTAGATTGAAGAAGTCGCACTATTGGAAGTCGCCTTATCTGAAACCTCGTTTAGTATCGAACTGCTCGGCGATATCCTTCCCGATCCTACGATCAAAACGGAAACCAGAAGCTGAATGCTGCTAAGTACGGTTTCCCATTCGAATCAGAAGTACCTCTGTATGTACTATGTATATATGTATATACTTAGGTATGGACATATGTAGTATGTATGTATGTATCCCAGTGTGTATTCAGTTACACAGACAGGCTTTTTAAAAAGATTACCTCACCACTTTTAACTTATCCTTTGCGTGCCTCTTCTGCAACACATTCAGTAATGCATATTTTTAGAACTCTTGAGTCAGTCACCATTATTGAATTTTTGGCCACGCACTAGTGCCCCTTCGTCAAGAATACTTCGCGTTAGAAACGAAAAGCGAAAACATTTGAGTAAAGCGTGGTTCGTTCATAAAACTACTGCGTAGTAGAAGAGTGATGTTCACGCACACATCCACAGCATAAAGGTAATAATAATAAATTACACAAAAGAACAAATTGAAACGAGAACACTTTAAAACACAAGAAGCTTCTAACAGCGACACGAGTATACCAAAAAGCGGGAATTTGTGGTTCAGGCAACAATATTTTGATATTTTTTTGACTGGCGACTGTCGATTGTCGCTGAATAAGCGGCCATTGTTGATGGTTGAGTATAAGTATGTATGTAAAAGTATATATATACGTATGTATAAGTATATACTAAATATGTATGTTGGAAAACATCAAAACACAAGAAAGAAAGCAAAACATTAGCGGCCACATAAGTAAACAACAAGCGTAGGTATGGATGTATGTGTTTACCATAAATGTGGCAATGATGTCATTGAAATATCGTGTGTTTCTTCATTATTTTCGTTTTTTTTTTTATCTTTTTATTTTTGTATTTATTTTTATTTTTTTTTTTTTTTTTTTTATTTTTTTTTTTTGGTGTGTTATAACAAAAGAAAGGTTTCGTACGTTCAAAATTTAGCGCTTAAGCCAAAGTTGCGAGGATTAAAAGTTATTGCGTAGCAAACTACGCGTTGCCATTATGTTAGTTTGCACAAATGTGGCACGTTGCGCACTTTTCATACTCCCACGCAGTCAAGAGTATTATTATACACTGAACTAGGCATATTAAGCCACACAGTTTGTAGCAGCMTGTAGGAAACATTGGAGCCCTTATAATGCTTATATTTGTACATATATAAATGATCAGCTTGACGAGCTGTGCCGATTTAGTTATATTCACCTGATTTACACGGACTAGTCCCACAGTTTTTGCGATATTGGTCCAAAATTTTGCCCAGGTCCTTCCCTTCCCAAGTAACGGCTGATTTGTCGAAATGCGCCAATATCGCATCACTGGCGTACAAGCTGGTCGCTCGAAATCAAGTTCTTGTATGGACAACTTTTTCATTTTATGCGATATCTTCACGAAATTTTACACGGATTATTGTTCAAGGCAGTGTCACAATCTACGAACATATCGTTAAGATCGGGCCACTATAGCATATGGCTGTCGTACAAAATGACCGTAGAAAATTAAGTCCTTGTTTGGAAAAATTCCTTGTTTCAGAAGATATCTTCACGAAATCTTATATTGTTTATTCTCGCAGACAATGCCACAAGCTCAGTACATATTATTCAATCAAAATTAATATAAAAATCTTTTTATACCCTTTTATGATATAAGTAGCGCATCTTTTAAGGGTATGCAATCATAGTTAACGGTTTTATTTGTTTTATTTTATTTTATTTTTTGCAAAAGTTTCTGTTGGGAATTTGCTGTCCTTTTTCCAGAGCATTCATTCAGCTAGCAATGAAAATATATGCTTAAATTTATACATACATACATACTTATGTATGTACCTAAACATATTGTGGAACATGTAACCATTTGCTATGGCGCCCTAAATCAAGGCATATGTAGAAACATGTGTACTTATTTTACACCTTAGCGCAGGCGTGAATTTTTACTGCGTTTGTGGAATACTTCCTCCTTATATTTACTACTATTGCACATTAACTGAGCATTAACTACCCAGCAATTAGCGATGACACGCTTTCCGTGTCCTGAAAATGCGATCTAAATTTATAAATATCCATACATACATATGTACACACAATATAACTTTGTTCATTAATTTAGAAAATAAATAGTACATCATAAAACTATTTTCTAGGTTTAGTAGATTAATTTCTGTACTACTAATCAAAATTAGTCAATAAAAGTAAGCAAACTCGCTGCTCCCAATTTTCTAAAGTTGATCCGAAAATAAAATTAAGGCTAGAGTAGTGGTTAGGACCTTCGAAACGTCGGAAAGCGCCACTTTGAGCTACATATATAATTACTAATTTCTAAAATTCTAGCAATAATTCTAATATCCAAAAATTCTAAAAGGATATACATATGTACTTAAATACAACGATACAAGACAAGTATGTATATATATAGTAAATGTATATTATATGCACCACTCAGTTGATTTTCATCAAAAAGAATACAAATCCAAACATTACTGTACACATACACATGCATATAAATATCGACTAACACCAGTCACTGCACTCACTGCAATAAATGCGAGAATTTGTGCACGCAATAAGAATTTGTTCAGGTTCAARGCCAAATATGTGCAACGCCTGTGATGAGCTGTGTCCATTTTAAGGCTGAAAACAAAGAAATAAAATTAAAAAGCACACAACTGTCTGCCAATATGCGAACTACAAGCAACTACACCCTATATGCCTGTTTTTTTGGCAATTCCCATATTTAAATGCATTAAACTTTGAAATTTTTTTTTATGCTAACAAATTTATATGGCTGGCAGAGCATGAAACAAAGTTGCTGTACTTCAATGAAGAGCGTTTCGAGTGCTTATCAGGCTCACTCAGCTCTTTCGTTCGATTTCTCGTTCACTCGTTTTGTGCCGTTCAACATGTGGGTATATTCAAAAGCTCCACTAATACCATTTCTTTTGAGTGGCTTCTTTCCACACCGGCGTTGTACACACACATATATACATATGTTGATGGTGGAATGATGTCATTTTATATTTTTGGCAATGTTTTTTCGTGCGACGTCGATTTGGTTGGCGGTAAGCGTCAGTAAATTGCAAAGCAAAACATTCGCATATCAGCAAAGCAAAACAATAAACAGAAAACACGCAAATAAATGATAAATGTGTACAATAACACAATTATGTAGCAGACATGTTGAGGAAAATTATGTTAGACTTACACTTACAAGATGTGGTAGTTTCATAAATAACATCTAATTGACAGCTATCAATAGCCCTACCCCAATTGGTGGATGGCGTAAAATTTTCGTGATTGACAATACTAACCATATTTGGTTATATATTTAGCACGGTTGCTACCTTAAAATTTATGCTGTTATATGAGTATATAGATATATGGATGTATGTATGTAGGTTTATCAATGTTTGCATTTGCATTTATTCTAATTTTTAACATATACATATGTACATACAGCTTATAAGTGTTGATTTATTTACTTCTTGCGATTTGATTATCAGTCCATAATGGCTACCCCTACTTCAGCGCGCTTGATATGAGCATGAGTGTACTTTAGGGAAGAAGTAGGCGAAGTTCGTAGCTTTTCATATTCTTAGCTCAAAGTTTTTGCCGTATACATATGAGTAAATGAAATTAACTTGTTTTTGGACTAATGGCCACGCGCCTGGCAGTGGTACACTACCCTCTCGCCTGCAATGAAATTTTGGTGTAAACAATTTTTTATTAATACAATTTAATACAAATCTGTAAACAAACATACTATATACATACATACATATGCATATACCATTTATACCATAGAGTACAAATTGTGTGCACTTTACACACTC